GGTAGGAGAGCCCCTCCACCTCCACGTTCTAGCACAAAGGGATGAAAAACCAAGGGGATACATGACCGTTGACGCCACGGCTGTGCCCAGGGATGAGCGGGTTAAGAGGCGAGCTTCTCACCCTCGGAGAAGTCAAGCTAAATCCTTATTTAAGTTGGTATCAAAGGTAATTTGTACCAGAACGGTTTATTACAGCTCAGGTCTCGGCGCTCATCCACAGCCCTGCCCACCGCTACGGGACGGAGGGGATTTCAGCGCCTCTGAGCTGTGTTGAGTTACACGAGGTGCAGGAAAAAAGGGGGTTTTGTTTGGTTAAGCCACTCCACAGGCATAGAAGAAAATAAAGGCAAAGAGTGACAAAGGCAGAATTTTGGAGAAACGGAGGAAGTAAAATAAAGCAAGCTCAGTAAAAATGGGGACGGTACAAAAGTTCCCGTAAGACCAGTGAGGCCACCAGACTGCCCGTGATTACCACGTGCTATCACCGGGTCAGAATAAAAGGATCTCCGCTTTCTTCCCTGCCCTATTCTTTGTTAAAAAAACCTATTCAGGCCATACTCTCTACCCACAGACCTCATCTCCACTGCTGCTGCCGCGCTCCCATCCGATATTGGCTAACAAGCGGGAAGCGTCTGAGCAGTTTGCAGCCTACGGAAGACAACGCCGCTCGTTTGCCACTCGAAAGCAGGCGCCGGTGGCAGCCTGAGGAGCGCCATCGATAACAGTTGTCACTACGAGCATCTGTCGGTCTGGAGAGAACACGCCGCGTTTCTAGCCTGGATTTTACCCTCCTACTTGAAAGGAGTTACAAGGAGCAACTACAAATATACATCCTGTATGCACAAACATCCATTAATGCGTTGATGGTTTAAAGGGGGAGTCTAAAAGGCTCTTTAAAATGCTCTTTGGCATTATCCTGAAATTTCAGGGTAAAGCTGAAGAACGTTTAATATATAACAGGCTGCCTCCTTCTACCTCTTGAACCCATTTTACGCTGGTGAAAATTTATTTCCCTTGATTTTCTCTTTTATCACTGGTCTGTGCAACGTTCCCCTAACCCGGTGGATTAATCTGTAAAACCTCTCACTTTGAGCCTTTATAGTACGTTAAAGACCTGCAGATGCCTCCACCAAATCTCTCTTTGTCAGCGAGGGAGCAGAGCTGCCCCGCTCGCCGCTCACCTGCTCTCTTCCAGTGGCCGTCTCCGTGCAGAAGAGCCGGTAGCCTTGAACGGGGCCGTTGGCATAGGCGGGGGGATCCCAGGAGACGAGAATCGAGGTAGGTGAGGTAGACACAGCCCGCAGGTTTTCCACCGGCCCGGGAACTTGCACTGCACAGAAAGGACAGGACGGCGTGAAAATCCTGGTTCCCCCATCGCTACGCCCGTGTCCCTGACGCGTGGCATGACCCGGCCCTGCGCACACCTCCGAGGGATGCCTGTGATGGCACTGCTTCGGCACCGTACCCCTCGGGAACTCCAGACAAAACACAGAAGGCATGATAAACCCATGCAAAATACACCGCGGAAAGACTACCGCAGATTTAGCTCCATGAATACATGAAAGACTTGAAAGGGTTGTTCCATCAACGCCACATCTCTGCGGCTTTGGCTCAGGGGATGGACTTCATCTTTAAGGTCGGACCAGATGATCCTTGAGGGCCCTTCCAACCTGGTATACTACGATTCTACGAGCCTTAAAATGAAATTTCTGGGAAATAAGGAGCATAAATATCTAACGCACGCAACAGATGCATTTACCTTGTAATAGGAAATCGGGAGACACGCAAACCTGACCACCTAGGACCAGCTCAAGCTAAGGACCGCCATCAGAGGAGCCATTCGAGAAACCCGCAGGCAAAGGCCAACGCACCACCCAACGCTACCAAAATCATCTCATAAACACCTTAACTGTGAGCGTAAAGCTGCTTTCCAGTGAGGCACTGCTTAGTCCTGCGTGTTTCTGTCCCAGCTCTGTAGGGATCAGATTGATGCTATTAAATTATAAACAGATTTGGCACACCACAGCAGGCTGTGATTTCTTATAGCGAGCAATTAGCCCTCAAAATCTACCCAGGACCAGCTCAAGCTAAGGACCGTCATCAGAGGAGCCATTTGAGAAACCCGCAGGCAAACGCCAACGCACCACCCGACGCTACCAAAATCATCTTGTAAACACCTTAACTGTGAGCTTAAAGCTGCACTTAGTCCTGTGTGTTTCTGTCCCAGCTCTGTAGGGGCCAGCTTGATGCTATTAAATTATAAACGGATTTGGCGCACCGCAGCAGGCTGTGTTTTTTTTTATAGCGAGCAATTAGCCCTCAAAATCCCTCTGCTAGATTCTACCTAGCGCATTTGCACACATTGTGCACGTGTACCTGTTCACGCTAGTTGTTTAAACTCTTTTATGCATTACTCGGTCTGTTTTAGCTGCCCGAGGGATCCCAGGTGATGGCTGCTGTGAAGAATGATGGGCAGTCCCTGACATGCTCTAGGGAACGAGGGAACCCACAACGGCCGGCTGTAGGCTGGCATCCCCCCGGCGTAGCAGCGGCACGACACCACTCCTGCAAAGCCACCAAAACCTGGTAGCACCGAGCAATGGGATGGACTTGGCCAGAAGAAATCACGCCACTCTTCTGGGCTGATCTCCGAGCTGACCCTGCTTTGAGCAGGGGCTGGAGCAGAGACCTCCCATCACCCAACCCGCCTTATTCCATCATCCGCAAACCCTCGTTTACCCTTAAAAATTAGGCCTTAATAGTATAAGCTCTCCAATATTGATACGTAGCCCCAGTTCTGCTCTTAAATAACACTCCTGTGTTTGCAGGGTGCCCAGCAGCTACGGAAACCGCAGGGCTGCGGCGAGCTCGTCTTACAAACCAAATAATGGCAATAAAAGCGTTAAACTACCCCATCCTTCAAACTATTTATGTGGTTTGGTTCGTTCCGAAAACACAGAGGTTTGCAATAGGTTTAGCCTTCAAGTAAAGACCATTTGCAATGCAAAAAATTTGGATTGCCTCGACACCGGGATGGTGCTGGTGGGGGAAGACGCACACGACCCCCCCCTTAAACGACAACACAAACCAGTCCCTTGTAATTAAGGAAACCATACTGGGTCACCTTTTGTTACACAGACTGCATCTTAAAATGCTCCAATTTTCCCCTGAACGCAAATAATCACACATCAACTACACGAGGCTTTTGGATATCAGTTTAAACTGCTTATTAAAACAAAAGAGCTAAAAAAGCTTAATATATATAATATAATACCCCTGTATATATATATAATACCCCTGTAACCACCAGCAGTACCAGCAACAACTGGTGTTTGGAGAAGAGACTATCTATAGCTTATCTGTGCCTTCATCCTGACCTCGAGCGAAATTGAAAGGAAAAAAAAGAAGAAGAAAAAAAAAAGAATTATAATTGTGGCAAAAACATAAAGGTCAAGCAGAAGGTTATTTCTAAAAAATCTTCACCACCAAATAATATCTTTTTCCTTTCGACAAGGAGCGTGCCGTGGCGGAAAACGAAACTCGCAAGCTATTGTGCGACCGATAACTGAATTACAGCTCCTAGAACGGGCTTTCTGCAAACTTACAGCCCCGTTTCGAGGCAGTCCCGTGCTAACGGCTCTCTTCTGGAAATCCGTAAGCGCGCGGCGATGCCGAGGAGCCCCCGACCCCACGCTCCCTGGATCCGTCCCGCTCCCGCAAAATAGGGATGGCAGAGCCGGGCAGCGGAGAAACGCACCCAGACACGGCATCAGCAAAACACAGCCACCGTTTGATCACATTTTCAGGTTTAGAGGCAGCGTAGATACATTTATAATATTTTTATTTCCTTGGCCCAGCTTTCCTTTTCATTCTCTCGCAATATTTCTGACAGGCGCTCTAATGTGGTTAAGGTCTCCGCATTTTCAGCACGCACAAAGCATTTAATAATCTCGTCTGATCCCTTCTGTCGAATAATAATCTCGTGAAAATTGGCATTAAGTTTTAAATCTTTTCCTAAATTCTTCGCTTTCTAAATAGCAGAGAGGCCTTTAGAACCGCTTTGCGTGCCATTAAAACAAGACATTAAATCATGTTTCTTCTAAAGTCAGTCGTTTACAACTAACAGCATCCTTTACCTAAGAAAAAAGGAGAGAGGAAAGAGGGTGGGCTGAGGATTGATGCTTTTTTTGTTTGTTTGTTTTTCACTATGTGCTCCACATAATGCTTCAACACATTCCAAAACTCACCGTTCCTCTGAGAATGCCCTTCTGCTCCCATCGGTTCAGCGCCTCAGATTGTTTCGTAAATATAAGCTCCGACGATGCCTTGCAAAGAGTTTGCTGCTGCTCTCGCAACTGCCAGTTATTTGGGGGAATTACTCCTATTCAGCAGCCGTACAGGCAATCAGGCCTAATCCGAGCTGGCCCCAGCAAAGAGGGCTGTCCTCTACGTAAATGGTGTGTCTTGCTTTTAATCTTCCAGAAGTTCTCAAATCTTACAGACTACGAGTTATTTTTGGAGGTAACCTCCTGCCAGCAGTTGGTATAAACCCAAAGAGGTCATGTGCAGTTGGCAATAGGTGAAGAGCCTCTGGAGAACGTCCATAATTCATTCCCTCCCTCCGTCGTACAGTGCTGCATGTCCACGTCCTGTCCCAGTTGGAGATGTACCACGTGCACAGGGCAAGCTGGGGGCCTCTGGCAGGAGGGCAGGAGAAACAATGCTTTGATTTGTACCTCTGGGGCACAATGGCACAAGTTGAGTCAACGCAGCTTGATGCACGGGGCAAACTGGGGGCCTCTGGCAGGAGAAACGATGCTTTGATTCGTACCTCTGGGGCACGATGGCACAAGTTGAGTCAACGCAGCTTGATTTTGGGGTCAGCAAACCCAGAGGAGCTCAGCAGAAGGGCTTCACAGCTTGAGGTGGGCACTAGCTACTGGGAAGACCTGGCCAATGGTAGGGTAAGAGGGCTTTAAGACCTCTAGTAATCCTGCAAGTTTGATTTGTTGTAGGAGCAGAAAGGGATGGCATCTCTGTAGGCCAGTGAAAACGTTTCCTTATTGGGAGACACTGGTATTGACCTGGAGTACTGCCTCCAGCTCTGGAGCCTCCAACATAGGAAAGACATGGACCTGTTGGAGAGGGTCCAGAGGAGGCCATGAAGATGTTCTGAGGGCTGGAGCACCTCTGCTGGGAGGACAGGCTGGGAGAGTTGGGGGTGTTCAGCCTACAGAGGAGAAGACTCCAGAGAGATCTTTTAGCCTCTTCCAGTTTCTAAAGGGGGCCTACAAGAAAGCTGGAGAAGGACCTTTTGCAAGGGCATGTAGAGATAGGACGAGGGGGAATGGCTTCAAACTGGAAGAGGGGAGACTGAGATGAGATATGAGGAAGAAATTCTTTGCTGTGAGGGTGGTGAGCCCCTGGCGCAGGTTGCCCCGAGAAGCTGTGGCTGCCCCATCCCTGGAGGTGTTCAAGGCCAGGTTGGACGGGGCTTGGAGCAACCTGGGCTGGTGGGAGGTGTTCCTGCCCAGGGCAGGGGGGTTGGAACTAGATGATCTTTAAGGTCCCTTCCAACCTAAACCATTCTATGAGTCCAATTTCTACTCTCATGAGCCTTCACTGTTGTTCCCCAGAGATTTCCTCTTTGCTATTGTTCAGTTAAACTTCCAATAATAACCCTTAATAAGATACAAGAATGATACAAGTGCCTAAAATAGGAACGCAGGCAACTACGTCAAAAATTGCTTGGCAACTACCTAAACATCCTAAATCTCTCTCTCAAACCTGCCATTGTTATAAGTTCCTGAAGCTCTGCCTTCTGCACCCCAGGCCACCCTGCCTCTGCTGGTGGGAATCTGGCTCACACCGAAGCCCCACTGGAGAGCGGGAAGAGGAGCACCCACACATCGTGAGTGCAGCTCTGGCAGGTAAAGAGTTTGGTGTCCCCAAGACCGTTGCATTAAGCTCTATCACAAGACACTGACCTTCTTTCAGAGCTATCAATGGGCTCCAGCTTTGGGATCTCAGGTGCAGAAGTGATCTCAGATGATGCAGAAGTTTGCACGGCAGCCTTTGGGCAAGAGAGTCCTAAACACCACCTGGAAGTTGAATGCCCAAATATGAGGTGAAAGGATCACAGTCCTACTTCTTTCTCTCCTCCTGGTTCCAGGGGTCTTGACTTTTGCTGCCTCTGGTCCAAACCAACCTCCCGCCTAATGGCCACGACGTTCTCGCACCGAGCATGCCATTCAAGGCACTCGTGCTCTGAATCCTCTCAGATTATGCTCAGAAGAGAGCATTAAACCTTCCCAGGAGATAGCACGTACC